CTCTAAAAAAAAAAAAAATTATTATAATAATAATAATAAATAAATAAATACAATAAAATAAAAATGAATGAATAATTATGATTAATTTAAAAAAATTATAATAAAATAAAATATAAACAACAATAAAATAAAATGTAAAATAAAAAAATCTATAAAATAAAAATGAATGAATAAATATGAATTTAAAAAAATAAAACAAATAAATATAAATAAAAAATACAATTGTTGTGCACCAGCACACGTTTTAAATAAAATAAATGACTGTGTTGTGCACCATCATGCATGTTTCTTAGATTCTTATATTTTTGGATATTGTAGCCTAGCGGTTAAAGATCTAGGATGCTAACTGATGGGTCATAGGTTTAACTTTAAGGGCAGATCACAAAATCAGCATTGTGTCCTTGAGGAAGTCAACTTTAGATCACTCCACGAGGGCTGTTTCTGTTAATAAGTGTATGTCATTTTGGATTAATCATCACCAAAATGACAAATTTGTAATTAGTGGAGTCCATTAGAGAAGCTTTGTCATGTCAATTTAGTGCACTGGCATCAGAGCATACATGGTAAAAGGCCTCTTGAAATGTGTGAATGCACACACAATCCTGAACAGTAAATGAACGGCATGAAGCTTCAGAAAGTGAACAGAATTATAGCACTGACTCGGCTTAACCGGGACTAACCCAACCGACAGAGACATTAACACTCCTGTAATGAACAATCTGCTGTGCTAAACTTTCATCGTTAAACCATCAACATGTACACAAGACGAAACATTTCCAAATGTTTACTTGAAGATGAGCAGTGTTTTCACTTGCAGGGGTTAGATATGAAGACAAGTTTCATTTGATTGCATCAACATGACTCACGAAACATTAAGAAAATGCAAAGCACCGGTGGCTCTGGAGCTCTCAAGGTCGCCTGGACATTTACAAGAGGCCTTGATGCTCCAGGCAGTCCGTCCCGGAGGACAGGGGCCACGGTGAAGATCCACGAGAGCTTCCAGACCCCAGAGCTTCCATCTCATGGCAATCATCCATAACACTGACTGGAGAAGCAGTTACCGAGCGGTTGCATCAGCGTATCAAAGACAGTCTCTCACTGCAGTAAGGCCTGAGCAGTGGGTCAGGAAGCACGGGAAACTTCTGTCACTGGTGCACAGATACTGCACCGGCGTACAAATGAATGCAATGCGTGTACGTCACTGTGAGAACATGAATTTCACACTTGCTGAGGCGAGAAGACATGTATGCATGTGTGTACACCAAGATATTCACAGAAACATATGCACAGTCACGCTCAATAGCAGAAACCGCAAATAAAGCCAAAGCCCAACACATGACTGCAATAACAAAAACATAAACCTGAGGAGAAAAACATTATGATACTAACTGGGCAAATGTAAAGTAAAGTATAAATAATTTACATAATACATGTGACTTTAGACATCATTATTTAAAAAAAAAAATATATATATATATATAAATGATTTTTAAACAAATACTATGACCTATCAATCATAAATATCAATATATTTTTGCTTTTTTTCTGCATCTTCCTGCAAGTGCACCAGTGAAGTTTAATTTAACATTTTTTTCCAAGAAATAATAATACAAAATTAAGTCTAACTACTTTGGAGAAACTCGACTGAAATTTAATAATTTTTTTTTTTTCTTTATCATAATATCGGGACAGTATTATCAACCTGACATTTTTCACTTTATGCCTCCAAAATATCAAAATTATTTTTAATTATTTTAACTTTAATTCAGCATTTTTAATAATAAAAAAAAAAATGCTGGTCATGGAAGAGTCAAAGAGTCACTGAGTTTATAAATGTCATTTTCTTCTAATGAATTTGCAAATTTGACCATATAGCATATTAGATAAAGAAACAATAAAAAGAAATTGACAAAGACCAAGATTAAATTCACATGAAAAAATAAATAAAACCAAAAAAAAACAGAAAGGATCCATACACTTGAAAGTGGCAGTCTGTCCATGCAAGGTCATTATTTTGCTCATGCAGAACATGGTTTAAATTGGTTAACTGCTGAATACAGTCGTGTTCTTGCATTAAATGAGGCCTTTCCTACGGATTTTTTGACACAAGTGCTGACCTCCTCATACAAGGAGAGTTACTCTTGGCTATGCTAAATGGCGTAAAGGACACCTATAGAAATAGCCACTGTGACACTGTGAAAAGGTGAAAGTCTTTAACATGGAAGATAAAAACACTGCGACCACAATTCTGCTGCAGACGACTAATTGGCCTACCATTTTATTGAGATTATATCCCCTGGCCACCCACTTACACTCATGATTTCATGGTGAATCATAAAAAATCTGCCTAAAAACGGACCTCTTAATTGCAGGACAAGAAAAATAGCGAAGGCGTTCTTGGCTTATTATACATTCGGCTCTGTGAAGAGAACAGGAAATCGGCAGAAGAGGAGAAAAGAATTTCAATCGTCTGATTTCTAATGGTTTGTGAAGGCAGTACGCAGTAAGCAGTACTAAAAAAGCCCTGCTGGACGTTCTTGAGAGAGCTTTGTTCTAGAGGGAAGATGTTAGTGACTGACAAATCCTGCTGACATCTTCTCAGCACCGTGTCTTGATCCATTATCCAAAGTGTGGATGAGAGTCGATGGGTTAAAAGTAAGACTAATCGTCTTAGTGCTAGTGTGCAAAAATAACTGCACTACCTCAAGAAACACAATATTCCTCTAGAATCATTTACGGCGATATGCATCCGACAATAAACTTCATAATGCAACCTAAACAGGACGCAGTTTGACTTAAACTGGATAGTCGAAGCAAAACCAAAAGACTGTTGCTTTACCCAAAAGAGCTTTCCTTACCAAACACATCATGCTTTTGTTTAATCCTGAAGATTTCTAAACCTCCGCGTCATGCTTGCATCCCGAGGACATTTGATTCAGGTCATTTGAGGATAAGCATCAAGGCTATCATGTGCGGTCTTTCCCAGACCGAAGAAGCTGTTTGTGTTTGTAACTGCCTCTTCTGTTTAATCTGCACTGAATTCTGCTTGCAGGGTGCTGATGGCAATGGTGGTGGGCTACTGTTGTTTTCTGTCATGCTGCGATCAAACGACCCCTCGTGGAGGGTCTTCTCTTGCTATAATAAATAGACCCCTCCATGCTTGTTTGCTGGGCCTTGAATCAAAACATTGTGGGAATGGACTGATTGGTAGACAGAGCCGCACTGCCCCCCCAAACTAGGGTTTGAACAAATAAACTTGAATTAAATCAGTTCCTTGTTGATGCATCCAGAATGACAAAGGGCAGCAGATTTTTTTCAGGATGCTCAGCAGAGGAGAGCTGACTTTGAGGAATCACTCATCAGAGGACCATGAAGGCTATCCTGCTCCTACTTGTATTTCTTGTACATCAAGTGCAAAGTATCGCACAAAGTGTACACTCAAAAGCTCAAAGTGAAGCAACTCTAAGCTGTTAATACAAGTGAAATGTAGCTGAAGAAACTGGTTGACCGTAGTTTTTCTGGTGAAGCTGGTTGAAAATGGTGGTCTTGCTGGCTGAGCTAGTTGAGTTCGAACTGGTGGCACCAAACCAGCATAGCAGCATCCAAAATATGACGTACTGATCACCAAAATGATTTTCAAGATGGTTGAGCTTCATAAGGTCCAAGATACCCTTTTATCCCAAATTTAAGCACAAACTGAAAGGTCATGCCATTAGACTATTTTTTCTTGCAAAATGTTCTGTGGGAAATCCATACAGGCCAAGTTATCAGCCTCATTGGTTTAGCTTATCGGGAGCAAAGGCTTTTGAGGAGCTGGTGCATTAAGTTTAGGCATTTCAAGAACATCTAAATAAGGTCATTTGAAATCTGGCCTTCATCGAACAGGCTTGTGGGAACATGAAGTTTTCAGTTTCCTCCAGTCACTGAAAAAAAAAGACTAATTCAACTTTGTGTAATCCCGTAATCCAAAAACAATTTTAAAATGAAAGGCCAACATGTGGTATTAATCACAACCTGCCATGTATTTAGGAACATAGTCATCAACAATCAGTTCAACTTTTCCCAGAAGCAGGGGAGTGAGTGAAAGCCAAGTGTTTGTCATGAATGTGCATCCATAGTGGCTTGCTATGGTCGGGGGAAACCCAGAGGGTTATCATTGAAGTGAGGGTCTTTGATGGAGTATGCTTTTTAGAATATACACATTTGACATTGTATTG